ATAGATAGATAGATAGATAGATAGATGATAAACCAAATTGAAATGTTCTTTAAAAATAAAATTTTCTTTAGTGTACACATTCTGTGTTTATTTTCAGTTCTTGCTTCCCATCAAGTGGTTGGATAAAAATCTAGGCTGAAATTATCTTTGAGCAAGGATGACTTTTTGTCCACACAGCACATTGTATTTCCATCATGACTTTGTCCGAAAGCACTGCTCCAGAACTCTGAGCATGACTCAACTTCTCTGCCCTCTCCATGAGATTAATGAGAGCAAGAATACTGCATGACTACGTTCACTCCTGTTTGATTCTCTATAGTTTCTCATTTGTTTTTGGCATCTGTCATGTCTGTAAAACTGTATGTTACTCACTGTATAAAAAAGGATGTGTTTGCTTGACTCATCAAATGTGTTCTCTTTTCTTCTTATCTGCTTTTTTTACATAAATGGGTTTTAAAGTGGCTGGAATCCAGTTCTCCTCAGACTAGCTGTTAGCTCTTTATCCCAGTCAGAATTAAACTTTATTCCTCCAAGTTAAGTCATGAAGAAATCTACAAKAGTTAAGAAAATCGTTGTCAACAACCTTTCCACAAAACCTCACTTCAAAAGAGCTGAACAGGTTTTTTATTTATCTATTTTTTTAAACTCTGCTTTCACTTGTATTTACTTTTCTGCATGATTGCCTTTGGGCTGGTCTCTCATTAACAGTAGTTGTGAACCACCAGGTGAACTGAAAGTGACTAAATTGACAGAGGACATAATAAAAGTGAAGTGGAGAGGAAAAACAAAGTAACTATTGCCATGAGGTCCTTTATGTCTATATTTTAAAACTGATGCTGTCCAAAATGTGAAAATTAGCAATAATAAAAGCCTTATACTCTCCGCCTTTTTAACAAAATTTTGATAGAAATGAGTGTTTTAGTATAGTTCAGACTTCAATTATTTCTCTGGACTTTGTCACATCAGTCATCAATGTGATTACAAAGATTAAAATTGAAGCTATGAGTGTTTTTATGTGTTATTTATTTGAAGGGTTTCACATATCCCTAATCTGTTTGGCTGCTTACCCCCACCCCACCAAAAAAGAAAAAAAAGGCAAAGACTGTTAATGTCAGCACTACATAGTGTCTAAACTTCACTTTAAAGCACAGCGTGCATCCATTTCAAATTCCTATTGCTGTCAGAATTAATTTGCTTTGGATCAAAAAGCATTTTTAGCCCTTAAAGAGTTTTAGATATTTTCAATCTTGTGACACAACAACAAAAGATTTACTGTTAGATTAAAATCAGAATTTTTCTCCAAATCAAAGGAACTAAGGCTGATTTTTGAAGCCTTCACTGCTGTGCATAACTGCAACYAAGACCTACATTCATAATTTACTTATTTTTGTGAGATGAAACTGGCATCGTGTGTTTGTTTTCTGGATTGGCTTTACTCTTGTAACTGAAGTTCAGTCATCATTTCCTTGTTTTGATTCAGATATTTTCTTGTAGTTAGACTAACTTCCTGTCTCCTCGGTGTCGTTGGTGACCCTCATTTTCCCTCAGTCTCTCTTGGCTTCAGGTAATCATTTACACCTGTCCATCTGCTTGTTTGCCTCAGCTGCATTCACTCATGAATCCCTTGTTACTTTTTCATACTGATTGCAGCATTTTTTGGTTTTTAGCAGATAAAAGCTCCCATTTTTAAGCTTTTAATGTGACTGTATGAATTTTAATGTTTGTCTTATCAATGCTATATGGTTTGTTCTTGTGTTTTTTATGATATCGCTGATTCTCTTTGCTTTTGTGTTGTAACATTTGCTGCCCATCTTCTTAACAGATTTTATTCRATCTTACTTAGGACAGTTTAGTTTTATGCACTACTTATGTTAAAAAAAAGTAGATTTATTTGTATGCAATGAAAAAAAAGATCAAAGTCTAAGGTCCACTTGCTTTCAGATTTATTCTTAAAAATGAGTAAGCAGACAGTTTGTGTGTCCTGTGAACACCAAAATGTGTGTAGAACAGTTCGGAACGGTAAAACAATTTCCATTATATGTCAATAAAGAGTTCTTTTGAGCATATCAAAAGTCAAAACAAAGGAAACGTGTTCTGTTTTTATTACAGCAATTCTGTTTTCAGGCATTGTTTTTGTTTCATTTCATGAAATGAGCCAGAGATTTCTAGAAAGAAATGTAAAAATATACATCAACGTGATCTGTGTTAAACAGCAGGCTATCATTTTGAATGCACACATRTATCACTTTGTACAAATATCAGTGAGGAGGTGATTCTGTCAGAATTCAACTGCGCCTGGATGACCAAATTAAAGGAGCTTGAAATGCTGAACYCTTTCTTAATTTCTCTCATTTTCTACCCAGTCACTCACTTCCTCTGCTCCTCAGTTCTCCAACTTTTCCCCTGCCTCCTCCTAATGACTGTAAAGATTTTTTCCCCTCAGATGCTCTCCTCTGATTGCATTTTCATCAGAAATTATYAGAAAGAAGGGAAGTGTAAGAGTTGGATGAGGGAAGTAAGAGTGGAAGGAAATTTGAGTTTTAATGAGATGGATCAGAACAATGAGACCAGCTCAGTGTTTCCCACGACAGTGACAGGAACAATGCACCRGCCCCTGCGAAAGCTCAGACAGCAAAATTAAAACTGCAAGGTTCTCCATGACAGACTAAAGGGCACAAAACTCAGTAGCAATAATGCATGCAAAGTATTACGAATTCATATGTAGTCCTTTTGTAGTAATTCAAGCCAACCGTGTAATTAACAGAAGCGGAAAAGAAGAAAACACAGAAATTGAGAGGAAAAGAAATGAAAGAGATGAGGAAAGAATGCACAGATTGAAAAATAAGAGGACAAACGAAGTTTGAAACGCTCGTCCGATGCGCGTCCATCATTTTCTTTACAGGCGGAGCAGGAAATAAAAATGCAGCGTTTGAGGCACGTCTATGTGTCAGTCTACGTTAAGCTCAGCGTAATTACTGTGAAATGAAAGCGATCCATGACTTAAAGCAGGGCGGCTGGAGGAGAAAGAGCTGTGTTTTGGACTCAACCTGCGAGCCACACACTTAGGAGTTAAAACTACAAAACACAATGTTTTTTGGGAACCTTCAACATTTTCAATTTTGCTGTAAACCTCCCAAGCAGAGACGTTTTCTGGAAAAACAAATCCTCTACAGAAATCTTGAAATCCCAAAAGAACCCCAGTAAATGCTGGGGRAAGGATCAATAAACTAATCTTTTAAGCTGAGCTTTTTTAGTTTCCTACGCTGGTCTAAACAGACCTCAGAAATATTCAGGAGCCCTCACAGTTGCAGCTGCTTCAGATAAACCCAGAAAGGTAAAACTCTTTGTATATGACTAAGAATTTTAAATCCAGGAGTGATGAGCACCCCCACCCCTCCCCCATCATAGCCTCAGGATTAAGACCTCCTGCAGTGTTCCTTCCTGACACACAAAAATATGTAGCGTGGTCTCCAAGCTGCTACATCTTAGGTAGTCACAGAAAACAGAGGCACAGTAGTTTGCTTTTTGCTGTCGAGTGTGAGCTTTGTACAACACAACACGTTGGTTTGTTCTAAAGGCACAGACACTAGTGTGACCATTACTGACAGAACAGATTTTTAACATTCATCATTAAACACATCTTGAAATATTAATGGTTAACAATAGGGAAACAGTTGCTATACTTGGAGTTAAATGCAAACATCAAGTGTTATTTAAAGTTTGTGCAAAACAGAAGCAGACTACATAATCAGTGATTTTCCTGATGTAATAAAAGTATTTTTTTACAAAACAAAAATGGCCATCTCAGTCTTTTTTTTTTTTTTTTTTTTTTTGATATCTTGTTTTGTGTCGCGGCTGGTAACGTTGTGTTTTGTTTTGTTTTGTTTTTTTTTGTTGGATTTTCTTCAAAGACAGCAGGCAGCTTGGTTGGTCAGTCAGGCCGTGGGTTAGAAATGCGTCTCTTTCTCTGAAACGGTGGAGATTTTGCCGTCGACCTTCAGTTTTGCGTCATTGACGGCGTAAGGACTGAGGGCGCCGAGTTTCCCTCTCATTTTCAGGTCAGAGCTGGGAGTGGTCAGCTTCTTCATTCTCTGCAGGAAGTCAGACGGAGAGAAGAAACGGGTGTTATCTTTCTTTGTGTTACAAGAAATTTGTGAGTTACAGTATAGAAATGGAAGCTCTGACAGAAAAAAAGTTAAATTGTAACGGTTGTAGTTGCAAAAGCATAGTTTCGAAGACAGGAGCAATAACATAAAGTCTACAGGATTCCTTGCAAAGCACTATAGTCAGAAAGACATAACTTATATCTACTAATGCCTATATTTACAGTTTGTAGTTTTCCTATTAGTTTCACATAAACGCATATAATACTAATTTGATGAATGCTTTTATTATTACCATTATTATTATTTGAAAGCTCCAAAAGTCTCCTAAAGACATTTGTCAAGTTTGGGTGATTTTACCTCAGAGAAGGTACCGGGAGTCTTCCAGATCATCCAGATAATTCCCAGTGGGATGCAGACCATTGAAGACATGGCCATGAACCAGCCAATCCCATAACCCCAGTCAGGATAGGTGTACACATTGTTGTACTTCAGGGGTTTGTATTTAATCAAGAAGAACAGGAATATTCCCTGCATCAAGAACAAAACACATTTTGTTTGCAAAACAAACTATTTAAGTGTAATATATATATATATATATAAATATATATATATATATATATATATATATATACACTCACCGGCCACTTTATTAGGTACACCTGTCCAACTGCTCGTTGACACTTAATTTCTAATCAGCCAATCACATGGCGGCAACTCAGTGCATTTAGGCATGTAGACATGGTCAAGACAATCTCCTGCAGTTCAAACCGAGCATCAGTATGGGGAAGAAAGGTGATTTGAGTYCCTTTGAACGTGGCATGGTTGTTGGTGCCAGAAGGGCTGGTCTGAGTATTTCAGAAACTGCTGATCTACTGGGATTTTCACGCACAACCATCTCTAGGGTTTACAGAGAATGGTCCGAAAAAGAAAAAACATCCAGTGAGCGGCAGACCTGTGGGCGGAAATGCCTTGTTGATGCCAGAGYTCAGAGGAGAATGGGCAGACTGGTTCGAGCTGATAGAAAGGCAACAGTGACTCAAATAACCACCCGTTACAACCGAGGTAGGCAGAAGAGCATCTCTGAACGCACAGTACGTCGAACTTTAAGGCAGATGGGCTTCAGCCGCAGAAGTCCACACTGGGTGCCACTCCTTTCAGCTAAGAACAGGAAACTGAGGCTACAATTTGCACAAGCTCATCGAAATTGGACAAGAGAAGATTGGAAAAACGTTGCCTGGTCTGATGAGTCTCGATTTCTGCTGCGACATTCGGATGGTAGGGTCAGAATTTGGCGTCAACAACATGAAAGCAGGATCCATCCTGCCTTGTATCAACGGTTCAGGCTGGTGGTGGTGGTGTCATGGTGTGGGGAATCTTTTCTTGGCACTCTTTGGGCCCCTTGGTACCAATTGAGCATCATTGCAACACCACAGCCTACCTGAGTATTGTTGCTGACCATGTCCATCCCTTTATGACCACAATGTACCCAACATCTGATGGCTACTTTCAGCAGGATAATGCYCCATGTCATAAAGCTGGAATCATCTCAGACTGGTTTCTTGAACATGACAATGAGTTCACTGTACTCAAATGGCCTCCACAGTCACCAGATCTCAATCCAATAGAGCATCTTTTGGATGTGGTGGAACGGGAGATTCGCATCATGGATGTGCAGCCGACAAATCTGCGGCAACTGTGTGATGCCATCATGTCAATATGGACCAAAATCTCTGAGGAATGCTTCCAGCACCTTGTTGAATCTATGCCACGAAGAATTGAGGCAGTTCTGAAGGCAAAAGGGGGTCCAACCCGTTACTAGCGTGGTGTACCTAATAAAGTGGCCGGTGAGTGTATATATATATATATATATATATATATATGAATGTATACTTAGCACAAAGGTTTTTGAAATTTGTGTTTGGAAGTGAAGTAAATTTTGTAACAGATTGACTGAATGTTGGATCCAGTATTGTAATTTTACACATTCTGATATTGTAGCCATAAGGTTTAAAACAGAGAATGAGAGTTGGTGTATCTTATCATGTGGGCTTTCTGTCTTTATAAACAAAAATTGGTTACGTTAATGTATGATATAAAAGGTAACACCTTCAGGTGTGTAACAGAAATATGTTAAAATTTTCAATGAACGGAGAGTTTTTTGTTAGTCCTTGTGTGCAGTCTCTCCTCAGATTCAGGCTCCACGCTGCTCCTGAGAGCTTGTTATTTATTTAGCATCAGATAAGGCACCAAGGCCTTCTTACTCTGAGGCCCACTAACTGCTGCTGGAGCTGACTGGAATAAAGATTTTAGAAGAGATTCAACTGGTTTTCTGCTAAATTAATATTGGTCATGGATTCCCTTCAGTAGATTACTTCTTTGTAACAAAGCTTCTTGGTAATAAATACCATTGGAAAGTCTGTGAAATTTCCTTTTAAACGGTGTCACATTTGTAAGGAACATGCATTTGTGAGGTGAGCAGTAGAGCTGCGTGTGTGGGTTGGACATATGAAGAATTTGGTAACATTTCTCTGCCAAACAGGTTATTTTGCTGTTGCTATTGACACTTGTTTTAAGCTTCTGGTTCCCCCTAGGGCAGAGGTGCCCAAAGTAGGCTCYCAGGCCAAAATTGGCCCACCAAGTTATTTAATTTGGCCCACCAGCAGTTGTCCTGGTTACTAGATTGTAATTAAGTCAAGATTAAATATAAAACACAGGTAACTACAAGAGACAATTAGATTAGGTTTAGGCCATATGTAGAGTTGCACAACATATAAGACCGCATATACTCATTTCTTAAATTAWGAAAAGTCCCATGAGCCTTTGCTGCCTGAGCATACGTTGAATTTTCCCCATGTGCATGGGTTAAAAAAAGAATGTTGGCCACCGCACTGGCTGCTAACTTAATCATAAAAATAAAGCAACTTTACTTAAGATGTATTTGCATTTCTTATATTATTGRATTTGGCCCTCAGATTGATTTTAAGTTTGGCCCTCACAGGGAAAATGTTTGGGCACCCCTGCCCTAGGGGCTGCCAATCAGGTGCCCACTCAAGAAGCATTGTTAGAACAAAGAAATAAACTACCAAACACAAATTTCCTTGCTATTTGTGCTGTTTATGTAAAAAAATAATTAAATTAAATTAAAAATTTTAAAAACCTGTGCAAATAGTTTAACTGCTGACCAAATTTTGACCAAGTTCATTTTACACAGTGTAAGTACTGAAACAATATGCAATAATGGTGAATGTTCAAAAGCCTGGTGTTTTTTTTTGTAAAAACACAACATGATTAATAAAATAAGTTATTTTTAACATCCATTGTGTTTTTCTTACTCACTTTTCAGATTGTATTTAGGACATGTAGAAAATTATATACTAAATGAGCTGAAAACATTATTTTTTAATAACACATTTTAAATATACACATAGTTCAGCCATTTTAGTCGCAGATTCTGTGTGTGTGTGTGTGTGTGTGAGAGAGAGAGAGAGAGAGAGAGAGAGAGAGCACGAGAGAGAGAGAGAGAGAAATTTTCCACTTGAATAATTACTGACCTCAGTTTGAAAACCAAAAATTCATGTGAGTTAAAAAAAAAATCTAAACCTTCTGCATGAGTGTTCCTTTCATCTCATCTGTGCTGAGCTTGTTTGTGTGTCAGAGTTGGACTCACAGCACAGATCCCCGGGGTCAGGATCATCCAGCACCACTTGATGAAGAAGACAGGTTTGTAGCCAATCATGTCCTCAATATTTAGGTAGAATCTGTCACTTCCTGTAAGCAAACAAGCCTCACTCAGGAGTTTCTGCATGCATCATCAAAATAATGATGGGATTGATGTGTTTTGATAGTTTGCGGTTGTGTTGACACAAAGCTGCTGACATGATGGGAGTTGAATCTATTCTGATTTCTATCAAAAGAGACGAGGACAGTCTGTAAAGGTTTGTGCTAGAATGATCTTACTGTAATTGATGACCAATTGCCTGTTTTGGCTAACTACTGTATTTATTCATGTATAATACTAGAAATTTAACCCTAAAAATCATCCATAAAGTTGGGGGATAGTATTATACACAAGTTATTTATAGTTAGATTTTTACGCTTTGTAAGTTCAAAAAATGATGATTGTATTATGCATGAATAAGTATGATATATTTATCTGCCAATATTGCCACAAATGCACACACATAAACAGATAAAATTACCTCTGAAATTTAATATTTAAATTTTTTTGTTGATTTCAATAATCTTACATTTCTCCAGGACAATATATTTAAAAGTGAATAACTTTGTCTCCCAATATCCTGATTTCCATGCTTTGTGGAATGGCTTCATGTGTTTGACACTTTCCCCAGCAGAGGGCAGACAAACAATAGCAGCAAGGAAGGCAAAATGCATGTTGCATAATTCTGTGCGGTGTGTTCTGAGCTCCAATGTAAAGCCACTGACTGGTCAACAAATAGGCAAACTGTTGTAAATCTATAGTCCGAGTTGTTAAATACAACATTCATGTTTCTCCTTGGATTTGAACTCTGATCTTACCGTATACCCAGCCGATACATATGGACTCAAATATGGCTACGAAAAGCAAACACATCCCGCTGGCAGCGTACGCATCGAACAGCTGGAAGACGTACATCCCTCCCTGATGGGAACAACAAACAGGTGTCAGTTCCCACAAAGCTTCTGCACAAACATCCGCTGAAGGAAATCAGATTCTCATTAGAAATTTGTTGCTACAAGCTGTTTTACTTCTGGAAAACTGCAAACATAAATTACATGTATAATTAACTTACTATAAGTTAGGCTGTTTTCATAACATTTTATGGCCTCAGGATGTTTGTACTCTGTGTTGCATTTTATTTTACTGTGTCAAACATCTGTTTGGGCCTAAAATAATCWGTTGTAGCATTGCAGTGATTCTTTAAATTGATGCATCAAAGGACATCAGGTCTGGTATACATTAAAACTTTTTTTAATGAAGCTACAGCTAACAGCTGTTAGTTAGACAGAAATTAATGTAGTTAAAACTGGTTTTGAGAAATATTTATTATTAGTGTATTTATTAATCTGAATTTAAACATGTGGTTTTAGCTTAACCCTCAACTGAACCATTTTATATTCTACTGTTCATAAAAAAAGAATGTGTTTTTTAATGTCATAGAAACATGTGTGGATAGTGTTACATCTGTAGTTCAAACTGCTAACTGTAACTGGGTCTCACCTCGGTYCACATGATGAGTCCTATGAGGAAGGAGACTATAGACATGCCGAGGATCAGCAGCTCTCGGCGGTAGCCTCTTCTGAAGGTCTCTGGGTACATGTCCACCACAGCTGTCACCAGACTCTCCACACAGACAAACTACAACACAAATACACAACCAATATGTGTTCATGAAGTAAAAATACAGACAGATTACACACCAGATTTTACTTTTACAATTTTATGCTCATTTAGTCTACTGTGCAGTTTATTTGTCCCTAAAACAAAATGCMTTAGAAACTTTGTACCCCTTTCCTAATTTGGTGATTCAGATTTGAACAGAAATTGCACTGGATTTAAAATACAACAGCTTCCAATGATCAACTGTTCATTTTATTTTTAATCAAAACTGTTCAGTGACAGGATCAATTCTCACCTGACTGTCCAGGCCGAGGAAAATCAGCATCATGAAGAAGAGGCAAGCCCAAAGGGGAGACAGAGGCATCATAGTTACAGCTTTGGGGTATGCAATAAAGGCCAAACCAGGACCTACAAGACAAAGAAAATATAAACATCATTCTCTATCCACAGGATTCTGACAGTACACAGTAACAGAAATAAGACCTACAAAACATTTAGTTACATTTTCCTGAATGTTGAGTTTTGTTCCACCATCAGTTTAAAAGAATAGTAAGAACTTGTGATTTTAGCTGATAATGAAATTGCTGTCTGTTTTGCTTTTCAGCCTTAATTGTTACCTGCTGCTTACAGTTCACTTGTGAAACCACAGAAAACAGTTCATTGATCATGAAATGCATATTTGTAGGTGATAATAATATCTACCTCTCAAAATGGAAATATAAAAATATAACAAATATTGTCTGAAGCCAATATGTGGGAACTCAGGATGGTGTTGTGCCTAAAGTGTCAACATTCTATTCAAAATAATAAGGTGCATCTCTATTGTGTTATTTAGGACTCATATTTTGAGACAGTCTTTTGAAGTGCATTGACTGAAGCATTACGTTTTGTCTCTACTGTAGCCCGAGACAAACATCCCCACTCTTCTGCTCTGTCACTTTTACTAAATCATTCATGCTGACTTAAATAATCCATAAAGCAGTGGTCTAAAAGCCTGGGTGAGCAGTGTGGAGTTTTATAACTGGGAAGATTTATCTATTTTAGCACAATAAGCACAACATTTTTTTCTTTTTCGTGGCTGTAGCATCTGCACATGGGCAACAGAGGTATGATGCTAATGCTTATTTTGGTGCGATTCTCTCACCAGATTCAGCCACAGCTTCGATGGGAACATTTTGTTCATAGGCCATGAAGCCCAGCACTGAGAAGATGGCAAAACCTGCCACGAAGCTGGTACCGCTGTTCAAACAYCACAGCATGATGCAGTCTCTGAAGAGTAAACAAAAAGAGTTAACCTTACTGTCAGGGAATTAAATGGACTTTAAAATAGACAGACCACAAACAGACTCTCGTTTTGCAAACAATGAGAAAAATCTAACAATCTTTTACCAGTTTTATTTTAATCCTGGTCTTGTGGCCTTTMTATTTACAATAATTCAGTTATTACAATGGAACTTATACTATTTATTTTTTACTGATTACTTATTTTGTATTCAATAATCTTATACTAGTGTGTYTATTATCACCTGTAGCAGTTGTTGTTGTAGGAATTATAACTTCCAAGAGCAGTAAGGCAGCCCAAGCAGATGGCATAGGAAAAGAAGATTTGGGTTCCTGCATCCACCCATACCTAGAAACAAATCAAAGGTAAACACCCCGCATAAACACATTAAATGTTAACACACGATGAAGTGTTTCATTATGAGTACTGATAACTCTTTTTTGAGAGGTACCTTTGAGTAAACCAGGAAAGGAGGTCTCGACTAAGTAATTATTTATGAGTGCTCAAATTGAATCTGACATAACATGCATCAAAATTCAGTTACTCAAATAAATTTTGTCTGTGRTGTCTTGCACTGTGCAGCATTTGAGTATAAGACACTGCCTGCACTACTTCATAGATGAAAGATGRTTTTAGTGTATATTTATTAATCACTTGTTAAAAAAAATGTATACAATGCTTTAACATATTTTACATCAATGCAAAGCTAACACGTAATAAATACTATACATTATTTAACATGAATCATTAATAAACAATTAGTTAACCATGAAAACATCATTAATTAAGGATGATTCACATTTAACAGGCTATGAATTAACAGATTTAGTAATGCTTTACCCATAAAAATTAATTACTTCCAAAACCGACATACCCATGGTTATTCATGCTTAATAACTCATGAATTAACTATTGTATATACTGTGTTTATGTAAATGAACATAAAATTGTACTTTCACATCATGTGTTAGACATGGTTAGAGAATGTTTGATTTGACTGTGATTTTCTTATTCTCACAGGTAAAAAGAAACGGGATTTCCGAGTTTTGTCTACATTAACAAATACTTAAAATACAAAAAATAAAATACATAAATAGTCCTAACATTAAAATTTAATACAGCATGAAGTGTTTCATTCTGAGTACTGATGACTCTTTATGAGAGGTACCTTTGGGTAAACCAGGAAATGAAGTTTTGACTAAGTAATTATTTATATGAGTAATTAATTAATAGTAATAGTAATAATTATTTATGTGAGTGCTCAAATTGAACCTGAGATAACTTGCATCAACACTCAAATAAAGTTTGTCTTCAAGAGTTCACAAAAAAGACTTAAACTAACTACAACTGCTTTAGGTATTGATGACCTCCAGGATTAGTAGATAGTCAATTCAAATGTTCTCTAACAATTGAAACATGTCTAACACATGGTGTGAAATAAGCATTTAGATACAAATAGACAGTGTTGAGAACAATTAATTCACGAGCATGAATGAGTGTCAGTTTTGTAATTAGTTTGTCTTTATTAACTGTGTTAATTTATAGCTTATTAAGAARGTATCATCCTTAATTAATGCTGTTGTCAAGTTTAACTAACCATTTGTTAATGATCAAGTAAGGCTAAATAAGGTGTAGTTAATATAAAGTGCAACCTAATGCYTGTTGTGTTAATGGTGTTTGGGTAGATGTCAGACTTTTTATCATTCACTACAGAAGAATAAACAAAAARGAGTGTCTTCCCCTAAAAAAAATCTGTTTTATGAAACAAGTCTGCAGATCATCACAGGCCAGCGGCACCCACAGGATTGCACGGGGCGCTAGCATGGTTCTTTAAAAACTCTCTCACATCACCATTCAGCAACTAATCTTATTTCCTCACAGCAAAAAAAAAAAAAAAACTATTAACAAACGCAAGGTCTTCACTCCCTCCTGGGAGTAACCACGGTAACTTCTGTGACCTCACAAACACAGGACTGTTCCTGTGGAAGAACAGGCTTTTCTCTCCTAATGTTCATTAATGTTCCCTTTAGTTCACCCTCGGCTGATGGCCGCGCAGCGCAGGGAAACCTTAAAGGCCCAGGCTCAGAGAAAATCACTTGTTGATGTTGTGCCTAATTTGGCGGTCTTCTGTTTGGTTCTGTTGAGACTGTGGCTCCAGGAAACTTTTCTACTGCGTGAAAGCTGGATGGCACTGGCTGTAAGATAGTGACCTTGTAATGTAGATGCACCACTGTGCTACGTTACATTTTAGTGGGATTTCAGCTGCAGATTTACAAACACAAACGTTCCTGCAGTGATGCAACTGTCTAGACATATTACATACAATTATAACAATCCCATAAATTAAATTAAACTTTCTGTTTGTTTTTTGAATACAAAATAGTGCTCAGGAAAATAAATAAATAAATAAATAATGAAGCCGATCAGTGCAATGATGCAAAAACTAGACATGGGGGATCAYATTTATTTAACTTAAGTCACACGTTGGCGTTGATTTGCTGTCATTTATAGTGATCCCACATGTTTGATAAGAAGCCAACCAGGTTAAAAAAGGAAGTCAGTTACAGCACTCATAACTGTTTTTGAGAAGACAGTCAACTTAAGTGATTTCAACACGACCTACATTCCTACTCTTTTAACCGTAGTAATGTTGTAAATACGTTGTAATGAGAAACTTCAATTACAGCCACGTTCAGCTTGATTACTTGGGTTTTGTGTCTTACATGTTCATTTTTTTTCCTTTATAATATAAATCCAAACCTAAACTGTTTCGACTCAGTA